AAGTACAAAGTCTTTCACACAGTCTAAAGACCCCTTTGGGAGGTCCTGCCAACATCTTCAGCATCTCTATGCCAAGCTAGAAAGACTGGAAATGAAGGCAGCCATATCCTTGGGGGGTACATGCCTAAAAGCCATAATCTAACTTTTTAAAACTTTCTCTTTTGGAATAATTTTAGACTATAGACAAGTTGCAAAAAATAAAACAGGAAGTTCACCCATTTCTCTAAACGAGGTTCCCTTAATATTTACATTTTATATGACCATAGTGCAATGATCCAAACCAGGAAAATACCATTGGTACAATACTGTTAACTGAACTACAGTCTTTATTTGAATTTCAACAGTTTTCCCATTAATATACTTTTCCCGTTCCAGGATCCAATCTGGAGTCTCACACTGTATTTACTTGTTATGCCTTTTTAGTTTCTTCAATCTGTGAATTTCTTATTCATTGTCTTTCATGACCTTGACCTTTTGAAGAGTGCTGGTCATTAATTTTGTAGAATGTCTCTCAGTTTGGATATCTGCTATTTTCTCATGGTTATAGTGAGATTATCCATTTTTGGGCAAAAATACCACAAAAGTGATGTTATACTCTTCTCAGTGCATCATATCAAGGGGTACATGATGTTGGTATGTCTTATTCCTGGTGATATAAACCTTGATCACTGACTAGAATTTTCTTCTCTATGCTTTGTTTCTAAACATTTTCATTTCTTCTCTAACTATCCTTTCTCCTGTAGTGAACTCATCCTTTCTCATGAGTTTCAGTGTCATTTATCTACACCTCAAATATAACCAAATTTATATTTTTATGCTGTATCTCTCCTTTGAACTTCAGGCCATATGTCCATCAGCCTACTTAATCTTTCCACTTGGATACCTAATAAGGATCTCAAACATAATATTCAAAGCCAAACTCCCAAGTTTCCAACCATCTTCTACATCTTTGTGAAAGACAATCCATCTTTCCAGTAGCTCAAGCCAAAAATATTGGTGTCATCATTCACTCTTCTCTTTCTTTCTCACTACATCAGTGCATCAGAAAATGCCGCTGGTTCTATATTAAAAATCTATCCAGGCTGTAACCACTTCTTACTACCTTCTCAGCTACCACCCTCATGTGAGTAAGTCACCACCACTGCCATCTTCCACTTGGATTATTGCAATTGTTACCCAACTGATGTCCTTGATGTTGGCCTTATTTCCCTAAAGTCTTTTCTCCACAGAGCAGCCACAGTAATCTTTCAAACGTCTAAGTCAGACCATGTAATTCCTCTGATGAAAACCCTCCAATAGGGGCACCTGGGTAGCTCATTCAGTTAAGCGTCCGACTCTTGATTTAGGCTCAGGTCATGATCTCATGGTCATGAGATGGAGCCCCAGGTCAGGCTCTGTGCTTGGTGTGGAGCCTGCCTGAGATTCTCTCTCTCTCTCTCTCTCTCTCTCTCTCTCTCTCTCTCTGTCCCTCCCCAGCTTGCACACATTCTCTCTAAAACAAAGCAAAGCAAAACAAAACAAAACACAAAAAGCAACCCTCCAATAACTTCCCATCTCACTCAGTTAAAAGCTAAAATCCTTTCCCAGTGGACTACATGGCTCTACATGGTCCAGTCTGCCAACTTCTCCAATCACATCTGTGTGTTTTCATTTCCTACTGCCCTCCTCCTTGCAATTCCTTGAAACTCAACAAGTTTGCTCCTAATTCTGACTAGAATTTTCTTCTTTATTCTTAGTTTCAAAACATTTTCATTTCTTCTCTAATTATCCTTTCTCCTCTAGTGAACTCATCCTTTCTCATGAGTTTGAGTATCATTTCTCTACATAAATTCCAGGTCTTTGCTCATGATTCCAGTCCTCTTTTTCAGGAACCCCCCACTCAGTAGATGGCATCTCAACCAATCCAGCTGCACATACTGGAGCCTCACAATTATCCTCAATGATGTCTTCTCCCTCATGTCCAATCTATTATAAAACGCCGTGTCTTTTTTCCCCCACATAAACAACATTCAGACCTGTCTAATTCTCATCTCCACTGCTAATACCTGGGTTCACTATTATCTCTCCTTCCTCATTTCTTTGCCACTGCCAATCAATTCCCCCCACTGCGGCCCAACTGGCCTTTTCTCAATGCAAATCTGATCCAGTCACAGACTGTTTACATGCTTTTCAATGACTTCCCACAACTAGTAGACATAGACCATAATCCTTAACATGACTTACATAGCCCTCCTGGCGTGGCCCTCATCCTTCACATTCCAGCCATAGCCGCCTTCTCTCCATTCCTCAAATGGCACTATGCTTACCCTTGCCATGGCCTTCTCCTCTTTTAAGGAAACACTCCACCCAGCCCCTCCTGTCCTACTCTCCACCTTACTCTTTTGCCTCACTAAAATCTATACCTATACATGCTCACACTGCAATTTAATTATCATTTCCTCAGAGGAGCCTCCCCTGCTCCTCCATCCAGAGAAAGTGTCTTCGTTTTATACTACCAAAGAATCTTGCTTCATCTCTGCAGAATGCTCACATTATCTTATAATTGTCTGTTCAATACTGGGATTATTTGTCAAATATCTGTCTGCCCCATTAGACTGTAAATCTTATAGCAGAGAGCTAAGTGGTTGACAAATGGTCCACATTCAATCAATATTTGTGGAATGAGTAAATGAATAAATCAATGGATTGATAAAAATAAAATCATGCTTTTGAAAGACAGATCTGACAAATCAGTTGATAAAAGGAGGAGAAAGTGAAGGGCAGGAGTTCTGTATAATTAGTAGGCCATTTGAGTAACATAGGCCAGGAAAGGGGAAATAAATTTTTTTTTAATGTTTATTTATTTTTAAGAAAGACACAGAGCAGGGGAGGGGCAGAGAGAGAGGGAGAGAGAATCTCCAGCAGGCTCTAAGCTGTCAATGCAGAGTCCAATGCAGGGCTCGATCCCATGAACAGTGAGATCATGACCTGAGCCGAAATTGGATGCTAAACCAACTGAGCCACCCAGGAAATAAAATTCTAAACAAGGATAATGGAAAGGGAATGGAAAGTGGCTATTAGGGGTTGTATTTGTTCTACTGACAAAGTCACCCACAAACAGCCAGGGACACTGTGGTCTGTGCCCACTGCTCATCCCACATGTGGGCAGAGGATCAACAAAGGCCTGGCATGTTCAGCAGTCTCAACACTGGGGGGAAGTTCTGCGGTGAAGACAAAAGGCACTTTCTAGGACATTTTGTCTCTTAAAAAGACAAATCCATTTGAATGACAAAGAAATTCCAGTAACATATTGCCATCCTTTGGACCCTGGGGGTTCATAAATAGGCTGGTTCCTGTGTTTTTAACAGCATCTGATATATTTGATTACATTTTCAATTCAAAGAGTTCCATTGCTACAAGAAGCAACTTCATTACCAGGAGGGCCCAGAGCCCAGACTATACTAGCTCCCTGTATTATAATTTAGCCTCAGTCATACCTCAGACAATATTTATACAAGGTCACTTCTTCAAACCATGTCTAGCCTTCCCAAATGACAATATTATTTATGCCAAATGCTTCTCCTAAGGGATGGAAAACTGCCAACTCTGGTTTAATAGGCTATACGGACAGGCTAGAAAAACATCATTTGCAGCACACACAGTTTATGCATTTAGTGTATAACTAGGGGTACAGATTGATCATTGGAAACATGGCCGAAAGCTGGCCCCAGGAAAAAAAAAAGCCACAAAGGCACTAAGGTTTGGATCTTTCCTCTCCGATATTAGTTTTGGAAACCCTAGGTTTAGTCAGAATTATGAATGCACAAGAGAGAGCTGCCTCAGACTTCAGTGGCTACCTGAATATCCAAAATAGGGGGAAAACCTGCAAAAGGAAATTTAACTTGGGCGTGTGTGCCCAGCAGCCATCCTCATGTGGTTACAAATTAATGTGACCATCCAGTGGAACAGGCAGCCCAGGGGCCTTTAGTAACAAAGAACAGTCTAACCCATTGATGTTAATTTACCAAATTATTCACATCCCGCAATCTGGAATAGAAATCAGTGGCCAAAAAATGCCTCCTCTACACCTCAGTCAAAACACCTATAAAAATCTAGATACCAGGAGGCAAAGTCTGGAACATAAACTACTTCATCCTGTTGCTGATGAGTTATTACAGTACAGAACGCTCGGGCTGCCAGGGGCGTCGGGGCTACACTTGCTTCCAAGCTCTGCTCTTGGTGGCGCCTTTAATAAGACATTTGGTCAAAATGTATTGGTGACAACTCCTTTCTCTTAAAATCTAGTTAAGGATACAAGTCATACCGCCCACTTAATCCCTTACAGACCACTGGACCTTTAAAATCTCCATGGTAGAAAATTAACAAACTCCGGGAGGCCAAGCTTTCACCTACAGTATAAAAAAATATCCCTGTATGACTTGGTGATGATACATTCACTAATAAACAACTTATACATTATTGTCTTTTATTTATTTAAAAAAATGTTTAATGTTTATTTATTTTTAGAGTGAGAGAGACAGAGCACAAGCATGGGAGAGGCAGAGAGAGACACACACAGAATCTGAAGCAGGCTCCAGGCTCCGAGCTGTCAGCACAGAGCCCGATGCTGGGCTCGAACTCACAAACCTCGAGGTCACGACCTGAGCCAAAGTCGGACGCTCCACCAACTGAGCCACCCAGGCACCCCCATTATTGTCTTTTAAATAGATACTACCATTCCTACATAAAAATATTGTATCTAAGTTTTAGGAAACAAATGTCAGCTTATAAAGGGGTTTCAAAATTCAAACTTGTTCCTCTGTACTGATAAATCTGGAATATTTTTTGTTGCTTAAAATGCATTATTTTTTTTCAAGTTTATTTATTTTGAGACCGAGAGAGAACATGCGTGCATGAAAAGGGGAGGGGCAAGGAAAAAAGGGAGAGAGAGAGTATCCCAAGCAGGCTATGCGCTGTCAGTGCAGAGCCCAAGGCAGAGCTCAGTCTCATGAATCGTGGGATCATGACCTGAGACGGAATCCAGAATTGGTCACTTAACCCACTGAGCCACCCAGGCACCCTTAAAATGCATTATTGAAAGGCTGTAAGTGTTGCATTTTTGTTTTCAAGAGCTCTCTCCGGAGGAATTACCTCCCATTGGACCAATGTTTAGTAGTACTTGAGATATCATTATTTATTAGTAATTCTAGCATTAACCCTTTTTGATAAGCACTTGGCCAAACAATTCCATGGCCAGGAATTATTTCAGGACCATAATTAGAAATATGTGCAAAGATATTGACCACAGAATTACTTATTATTGGTAGTAAATGTACAACAATAAAGAAGCTGGTTAAAACAAATTAGCTATATGATGAAATACTACATAACCATGAAAAAATCATGTTATAGAAAAATATCTAACCCATAGGAGAAAGTTTACAGTACACTAAGTGCAAAAAGAGATGACAAAACAATATACACCACATATATGTTCAGATGGAATGATATCAAAATATTAACCCATGCAGGGCTCCCCCAAGTGGTGTGGGCAGACTTTAAGAAGGGGGCTAAGGAACTACACTGATGTGACTTGATTTATATGCGCAAGCCAGTAAGACTTAGGGACATTTGGACAAGAGTTTTTACTTACGTTTTTATTATAGAAGTAATTCGCATCCCACCTGTCATCATCCAAGTGAGGAAGGAATAGCGTGGCCATTTTTCACTGTTCCTAGCCCAGTGGTGGTTTGGACAGGGCCTGCATGAGCCTCCATCTGGCCTTCTGTCTGAAGCATTCTCCTTAAGTCAAGAGCAAGAAACCTTAGTCTCACACAGTGAGATCCCTCTCTCCTCAACAGTAAAGCATTGCCATATGGTTCCTAACATTACAGCACTCATGGGTAACCCCTGAAACTATCTTCATGTCCACATGATACTACGGCATAGAGATTTATTAGGATATTGTAAATAAAACTTGGATAAACAGAAGCATGAAATGGGAGACCCCACAGGCTAAAAAAAAAAAAAAAAAAAAAAAGTTAAGAAAACAAACCTGCTTCGTCAGCTTCTCTGGCAAACAGATATGGGCCATGATTTATTAAAACAGGAGCTTTTTTGAGGCATGATTATAGACAAGAGAAAGTTGAATAAAGCTTTGGCTTTAAAGTGCTTCTGCCTGTATGTGCTGGGCTTTTGTATCTGAATGTTCTGTGGGCTCCCCATGTTCAATGCATCGGAAGCAGATATCATTCTCTTCTTTTTTTTTTTTTCTTTCTTTTCTTTAAAAAAAATTTTTTTTAAGTTTATTTGAGAGAAGGAGAGAGCGAGAGAGAGAAAGAGTGGAGGAGAGGCAGAGAGCGAGAGAGAGAGAATCCAAGCAGGCTCCACACTGTCAGCATGAACCATGGGATCATGACCTGAGTTGAAACCAAGAGTTGGATGGTTAGTTGACTGAGCCACCCAGATGCCCCTCTCTTCTTCTTTTTTTTTTTGTTTTTTGTTAGTGTCACTATTTGGATGGTACCAGAATAGAGGTGACAGGCAAAGCAAAAGAGATGACTGAGTACTCTGGTCAGAAGCATAGTGAGATTGGGGAAGAGAACAAAGGATAGACCTTTGGGACAGGCCCACATCTGAGGTAGAGGGAGAAAAAAGTAAATTCAAAGGGACCATCCAAGAAGTCAGAGTAGGAATGAGTTTGCTCTGTATCAAGGTATATAAACATCATTTGCTTTAAGGTGGAAATTTTAGTCAAAAATATAGTCTGAAGACAACATAGTTTTATTTTGTTTGATGCTAATGGATCTCTGCCCGAAACTAAAATAATCCAGATGCATCAGATAGAGCAAAACTGTGCTTAAATACTTCCAAGAGTTCAACTATTTCACTTGCCAAATAAATAAATAAATAAATAAATAAATAAATAAATAAATAACTTTTTAAGAGGTAAGTGAATAATTACAGGCATATAAAAGGGGATCCAAAAGGTTGACTGTATCAAGAAAAATTTGTAAATGGGTACAACTTGAAAAGGTCCTACTGACTTTATAGGCCCAGGATTCTCATTCATAAAGGTTAAATTGACATTTTTGCTTGAACGCATTATTAAACAGTAGGAGCTAATGGGGGTTCACTTTTGTTTCCTAGACCTAAGTGTTGTCTGGCTCCCTCTGTTCAGAAATAACCACAGGGCTCTCTCACTCAGCAGTAATGCTGAGAGCATCCTCCCAGACTGGAAGGTTGAAAACTGTTGCCTCTGTGGTTCCTGAAGCTGGGATCAGACTAGAGCAATTGTGCAGTCAATTTGGCCCATCTTGAAGACTTTGGCTCTCAAATGGCAGGGCTGTGCAGACTAAACTAGAGGTTATTTTACAAGGACCATCAAAATCCTCATTTGCATGTGTGAAATTCCTGTGGAGAGGCTGGTTTTGAATCAGGCTGGTTGGGCCAGATTACAAGTTGAGTCGCTAGTGTGAATGTGAATAGCATCAGCTAGATCTCAGCCCCTTCCAGTCAGCCTTTCTCTTCTGGGGACCAAATCACTAGCCAGTTGTTTGAATTTCAACACAAGTGACCCCAACACCTGCCATTCACCTCCTAGCTAGCAGAGGACATCAAATTTTCTTAGAAAAAAAAAATGGCCATTGGGCGCCTAGGTGGCTCAGTTGGTTGAGCGTCTGACTTCAGCTCAGGTCATGATCTCACAGTCTGTGAGTTCGAGCTCCACGTCAGGCTCTGTGCTGACAGCTCAGACCCTGGAGCCTGCTTCCGATTCCGTGTCTCCCTCTATCTTTCTGCCCCTCCCCCACTCGTGCTCTGTTTCTCTCTCTCTCTCTCAAAAATAAATAAAAACATTTAAAAAATTAAAAAAATAAAATAAAATAAAATGGTCATCACCAGCCACCACCACAATAATGATGTTCACTGAGTACTTACATTGTCCTAAGTGCTTTACACGCATCATATACTCAGATCCTCACAGCACCCCTATGAAGTTTGGTATTACCATTGTATTACCATTTCTCAGAGGAGAAAACTGAAGCTCAGAGAGATTAAGGATAACTCATCCCAGGTCACACAGGTAGAAAGCAGTAGATCTGAAGGCAGATAGTTTCACTTCCACATTTATGTCTTTTACCACTTTTGCCTGATGCTGTGTTGCTTCCTTCTAGTAGGCTGATTTCAGCTGGCAATGAATAGCAGCAATGAACGCTGGGATCAAAACCAAAAGGTTGTGTGATATGGAACAAATCATCAAGTTTGAATAGAACTCAGGTACTTGTGTCATTTTTGTCTCAAAACAGAGCTGTGTGAATCATAGGGAGCCATGCCACTTGCGGAGGGTGATTCTAGTTCTTAATCTGGACAGGACGGCACAGTATACGCTCCATTCCTCTATCTCCCAGTAGCAACTAACTCTCTTGATTCCACAGTTTTGTTTTGTTTGCTCCCTCTGGGGCAGCTCTGGGATTCAGAACTTTCTCTATAGAGGCTTGAGGAAAAGAAAGCAACCTATAAACGAAGTCCTAAATTCGAGCTGTGGAGGGCATGTGCCTCCCTATCTATACGGTTGCAGCTGCAGAGACCATCCCTCAGCGTCCCTTTCAGGGTACAGAGCTAGGGAGCATGAGGAAAATGGGGCCACTTATTCTTCAGCTTAGAGATTCTTCTGAACCATCAGAAAACACTTGCTTTGAGAGGGAGGTGTGTGACTGCAGGTCCCTGATGTCCCTTCCAGGGAACAACGCGGCACAGTACTTACAAATTTCCCAGCTCTCCATCCCTCCAGAACATCCTCCGCACATGGAGGGGGGTGTCCTATACTCATCACCTGGACAGCAGTCTGGCAACCACTGGCCAAAGTGGTTTATAACATCTGGATAACTGTTTCCAGATGTGGCCTTCCCCTGAAATACTTGATTAAAAGTTTCACACTCAGCATCTGGAAATAACTGACATATGCACAGAGAGTTCCTATCATCTGCACCCAGAGTAAAGCAGTAGGGCCACTCCAGAAGATGAGAGGATGTTCAGAGCAAGCCCAAGAAAACTGTGAGATGGTGTATCTGTTGGGTCCTCATTGAAGTCAAGCAAATGGAGCCAAGTCCGGAGGCAGTAAAATGGACTGGCAGAGCTAGGGTTTGGAGTCAGACAGATCCGCATTCAAACACCAACTCCACCAATCACGAGCAAGGTCTTCAGCAAAGACTTTAACCTCTCAGAGCCTCAGATTTCTCCTCTGTAAAATGGGAATGCAACAATCCTCAGGGGAAGATTGTGACATGCCTGGCACATAGCAGGCACTCAATAAATGGTAGTTTCTGTTTTCCTTCTTACTAGTTAAGTCTATAAACACAATTCACTGTTATGCTTATTACATAACTGAATAAAACACTTAGGATTAGAAGTTCCTTTTTCACTGTTTATACAGAACATTAACATTTTTCAAGCACAAATAATAGCAGCAGATGTTTATAATGTGCCCTTTTGAGGAGGAGCTCAATTTCACATCAAAACTTGTAAATCTCTGAATTTGTCTCAAAAAGCAACTTCAGACCAATCCGGAACCCAGATTAAAATTTTGGGGTCCTTCATGTCTTCTGGAGTTAGACATCTGGATGTTACAGAGAAAAGGGAGTCCGGCTACACCGAGAGTTAAGATTCACCAAATCTGTGAAGGGGTTGGACAAATGATCCTCATATAACAGGTGCAGGGAGGTTAAGTGACATTATATGTGTTGGGTTGAAGATTTACTCCAAATGAGTAAGCTAATTTTATTCACTCTATAGAATCTTCCCCCCTCCTTTACTTTGAAAGTCATTATCAATGGCTATAATTTATGGAGCATCTGTAATACACCAGGGCCGTGATAGGCACCTTTCCTACACCACTTCCATGTGATCTTTATTACAACCGGCCTGTAAAGCAGGCATCGTTATCATCCCCATTTTTCAGGTGGGGAAATTGTAGCTCAAGGAACTTAAATAGTTTACCACAAATCATAAAGCCAACCAGCAGCAGACCTGGAATTTGAACCCGTCGGTCTAACTCCAAAGGCATCTGCCAACAGCTTTGAAACAACAACTTCAACTTACCATGGAGTGAGCAAAGGGCTAGTGAAAATGACTTTTCCGCTCATCGCCTCAAGTCACCATGACAATTAACCTGTGGCATCCCCGGTTTGCCGTGTCCACAACCTGGACCGTGTCCACAGTTCCTTATGGTTGCTAGAACACCTTTTTTATTTTTCGGGTCCAGATTGCTGGACAGGTGTTCAATACAATAGCTCCTTTTCTCCCCATCTGCGTCTCTGTGCGCGAGGCCCCGATCTGTCACTGGTGGCTGCTCCCCACATGTGCTCACGGCCCCGCTGATGAGAAATGGCAGAAGCAGGTATTAAAGGTGGAGGTTCTGGCTTATTGCTCTGAATGTATTAAAAACCATTCCCAGACTCCACATAAAGAGTTTTACACACACAGCACATATGATACAAGGGAGACAGAGAAGCAGACGTGGGGATAACCACAGTGAGACAAGTAACCACAACACAAGTCTGGAGAGACGGGCCTAAGGAAAGCTACTTTCACAGACTGGGTGATGGATCGTCTCCTCAGCAGACAGACAGCTAGAGGTACTTATTTTTATAAAAAGTTGACAGAAAGAACTCCAGACATCCAGGCCTGCTCTCTTCCTATTCTTGTGTCCAGAGCTGACTCAGCCTCTCTGTTTCCCTTTGCAGCATGGTGAGTTATTCCATGCACTCGTGCTAATTCTTCACAGCCCGCTCTCTCTCTTCTCACAGGTCGTTGAAATGTCTACTTGTCTGGGTTAGAAATTGGGTGGATGCTGAATTGCCTTCTGTAGTCCTCCCCAGGGATGAATTTCTCATACCTAGGGTATTGTTGGTGGGGAAAATTCTTTCAATTTAAAGGCCCTTGAGATGGTTATCCAAAGAATTTATTTTACTAGGCTCTTGAAGACGATACTTACCATTTATTGAGTACACAGTAAGTGCCAGGTAATTTCCATAAGCTATCACATTTAACCCTCATAAAAATCACATAAGGTAGGTATTAGCCCCATTGTACAGATCAATAGCAGATAAGACACATACAATAAATGGAAGGGAAGATAAAACCATATGGTGTACCGATTTCCGCAGAGCTTCTTTAGTATTGGAGAGGTAGGTGATACAGTGAAAGGAGCTGCGCCTGGGCCAGGAGACCTGAATTCTTGTCCTGGCATCAACACTAGCCAGATCTGGATGTGGGCAAGACACCGGAGCTCTGTGCACCTCTGTTTATCTAATCTAAAAAAAAAAAAAAAAAAAGTAGTTGGTTGGACTAGGCAATTTCTATATATATGGCCTCTTTCTCTAATTTTCTTTCTTTTCCTTTTTAAAATTTTATTTATTTAGGGGCGCCTGGGTGGCTCAAGCGTCCTACTTTGGCTCGGGTCATGATCTCGCAGTTCGTGGTTTTGGGCCCCGCATAGGTCTCTGTACTGACAGCTTGGAGCCTGGAGCCTGCTTCAGATTCTGTGTCTCTCTCTCTCTCCTCCCCTCCCCAGCTCACGGTCTGTCTCTCTCTCTCAAATAATAAATAAACATTAAGAAAAATTTTTTTTAATTTATTTATTTAAATTCAAGTTAGTTTGGGGCGCCTGGGTGGCTCAGTCGGTTAGGCATCTAACTTCTGCTCAGGTCATGATCTCACAGCTCATGATTTCGAGCTCCGTGTCAGGCTCTGTGCTGACAGCTCAGAGCCCGGAGCCTGCTTCGAATTCTGTCTCCCCCTCTCGCTGTCTCTGCCCCACCCCCACTCACGTTCTGCCTCTCTCTCCTTCAAAAATAAACATTAAAAAAAAAACACACCAAATAAATAAATAAATAAATAAGTAAATTCAAGTTAGTTAACATACAGGGTAGTATTGGTTTCGGGAGTACAATTCATCATCTCCATATAACACCCGGCACTCATCCCAGCATGTGCCCTCCTTAATGCCCATCACCCATTTAGCTCATGTCCCCACCTACCTGCCCTCCAGTAACCCTCAGTTTTTTCTGTGTATTTAAGAGTCTCTTATGGTTTGCGTCCCTCTCTATTTTTATTTTATTTTATTTTTCCTTCCCTTTCCCTATGTTCATCTGTTTTGTTTCTTAAATTCCACATATGAGTGAAATCATATGCTATTTGTCTTTCTCTGACTGACTTGTTTAGCATAATATGCTCTAGTTTCATCCTCTTCCTCTAACTTTCTGTGACTATGAGCTATTTTCATACTGTAGTTAATGTTAATAATGTCAGACTCTCCATGAATAAAGTCCTAGAATAAAACTAGTCCATCAGCACTGAACTGATGTCTTTCATCATCCAGCTCTGGAAAACATCCCATCCAAGCCACATCTAGATTATGATTTAGCAAGCCATAGATTTTTAAATGCTTTTTCTTAAAAGTTTTTATTTATTTTTGAAAGAGAGAGTGCACAAGTGGGTAAGGGGCAGGGTGGTGGTGGGGGACAGAGGATCCAAAGTGGGCTCCTCTGCCAGCAGAAAGCCCGGCTCGGGGCTCGAACTCGTGAGAGATCATGACCTGAGCCAAAGTCATATGCTTAACTGAGTGAGCCACCCAGACACCCCTAGCATGCCATAGATTTTAAAGACAAACTGAAGCAGAACTTAAAGCCCTGTGGCATAATCACAGAAGCAGTTGTTTTTCTACCTTGGATCTGAGAAGTTTCCTTACAAAAGAATAGGTGTTTGGTATTCTGATTATCTACTGCTATATAATAAACCTCCCCCAAAACTTAGTGATTTACAACTATTTCATATTTTCTTTCACGGTTCTGGGTGTTTTAGGGCTCAGCTGGGTGGTTCTCTTTTGGAGTCCCTCAAATTCATTCCGTTGAATCAAGGCAAAGGTTGGAGTCTTCTAAAGGTTTTTTCACTCATACATCTGACATGTGGACTGGGATGGCTGTGGGCTTATTGGTCATACCTCTATCCATGTGGCTTCTCCATGTGGCTACATTGGGCTTCCTTGGGCTTCTTCACAGCATGGTAGTCTTGAGGTAGTCAGATTTCTTCTATCATTGAGGCTGGATTCCCCCAGAGTGAGCATTCCAAGAGAGCTAGGCAGAAGCTATAAGCTTTCTCATGACTCAGCCTCACTTCTGTATTCTATTCGTCACAGCATTCACCAATCGGCTTGAATTCAAAGAAATGGAAGCATAGATTCTACTGCTCATGGGGAGAATGGTTTGTACATACAGGAAGGAATTGATGGCAGCCATCCTAAAGACAAGTTACTCTACTTGGCCTATCACAGAGCAAAATGAACTATGGGTAAAAGTCAGCCTCTCTCTCTCTCATACTCTCTCTCTCTCACACACACACAAACAGGTTGAACACCACAAAGAAGAGTAATTGGTGGAAAGCACGCTTCCGTTTCTGTGAGACAACATTAAGCTTTGTCATTCTGGAAAAGGGAGAGCAATTTAATTGAGGAAATGTCTTCAGAAGAAACAGTCAAGGCATGTTAGTGATCTAGTTAAGTCTGCCAGGACGGATATTGATATCCCAGTAATCTTAAGACAAATCCAGATGTCCATTTGTGATCATCCTTAAGTGAAGGTGAAACCAGAGGGATGAAGTCGCCAGACCCAGTCCCAGACATCTACACGGATAAGCAGCCTGATGTGTAGCTGTTTTGACGGGCAGGCTTAAGAACACTAAGAAACAAACTGAGGATCTGGACAATATCGCTATCAGGAAAGCATATCATAAGCCCCAGAATGTGACATTGTCCCAAGAAAAACAGCAACCCAAAGGCCAACTAAAAAAATGAAGATGCTGGAGTAGACAAGCAGGTCAGATATGACAGCGGTGGTGAGCAGAGAAAAGTCTGGAGAGAATGTAGGAACCCGAAGAGGATGGCATAAGAACTGGAACTGCAGCCCCCTAAAGGGCTGATATTATCTGTAAAAGAAAATATCTGCAGCTCCTGGGGAAGAAAAGAGACTTTGGGAGCCACCAGGGAAGCAGCACAGTGATCCTTTAGGTTATGGATGCCAGAACAAAGCTAGAATTACTGTGGCTTGGAAGGTGAACCTAAAAGCCCCCAAAAGAAGCATTTCTTTTTCTTCATGACTCACAGAGAGTCAGGAATGAATTCCCTAGACATGAAATTTAAGAGGTTTCTGGCCTGTATCTGGAATATTTAGGAGTTGTCAGCCTTACAATCTGATGGGCACTGCAAGAAGCTCTGGGAGTCTGAGGGGCAACGAGATGGAACAGAAAGTTGTTTTCCTCTCTGGCTCTGCCTCCAGAGGGCAACAGGGGCTTGTTCTTTAAATAGTGGGACTTTTAACAGCAGAGGGCTCCAACAGGTCAATTGCAATCTACCAGCTGACAGAGGGCACTAACTGGACCAGTCTTCAGGTTATAGCACTCAGTTACACCCACCCCTCTGGTTCTTTAAAGAACTGTCCTGCAGTTCTGGCAAGCATAAAAATCTGTACGTCTTTTGAACTCATAATCTCACTTCTGGGAATTGAATGTAACCAAACCATCCACAAGCAAAATATATGTGCATGAAGATGTTCACAGCAGCGTTGTTTATAAGTAGAATAACTCAGTGCTTCTCAGACCCTGATGTACATCACTTGGAGACCTTCTGACAAGGCAGATTCAGTAGGTCTGGGGTGAGACTTGCAACTCTGCATTTCTTTTTTTTTTTTTTTTTCAACGTTTTTATTTATTTTTGGGACAGAGAGAGACAGAGCATGAACGGGGGAGAGGCAGAGAGAGAGGGAGACACAGAATCGGAAACAGGCTCCAGGCTCTGGGCTGATGGCCCCGACGCGGGGCTCGAACTCACGGACTGCGAGATCGTGACCTGGCTGAAGTCGGACACTTAACCGACTGCGCCACCCAGGCGCCCCGCAACTCTGCATTTCTAACCAACTCTCAGTTGATACCTATGCCATCAGCCCACAGGCCCTACTGAATAGCAAGGGCTTACTTTAATTTTTTAACGTTTATTTATTTTTGAGAGAGAGAGAGATAGAGTGTGAGTGGGAGAAGGATAGAAAGAGAGGGAGACACAGAATCTGAAGCAGGCTTCAGGCTCTCAGCTGTCAGCACAGAGCCCGATGCAGGGCTCGAACCCACAAACTGTGAGATCATGACCACGCTTAAATGACTGAGCCACCCAGGCACCCTGCAAGGGCTTACTTTATATGCAGCTGAAAAACTACAGGGCAAGACATAACTAAATAAATGGTAAGTACATCTCTTTGGAATACCAAGCTAAATGTTAAAATAATATTCAAAACTAGCAATGTGAAAAAGTATTTACGACCTAACATTAAGAGAAAAACACAGGATAAAAAACCATGTACACATAAGGATTGCAATTGTAAAAAAAGAAATATGGGAAACACTGGAAGAAATCCAAAATTATTTACTGAGTGGTTGTTTTAGGACTGTGCAATTATGTTTTTCCCCCAGGTTTTCAAACTTTTTGTTGTGTTGCTACATTAGTTTCATAGGCGAAAAATGCTGGTAAAGAGTGGTATATTAAGGAGAGTGATCATACATCGTGTTTTGCTGGAACAGTCCTAGGTGTGTTAGCCCTACAGAATTATCAATGGGGGTCCGTTCAATCTCAGAAGTACCTCCTATAGTTGATGTGATCACATTAGATGTAGGACACACCTGGAGGCAGTTTGTGTGCTTTCTCTGTTACTCCAAAGAATTCGAAAAGCTGAACTGAAATGCCTAGAAGGAGAGGGCAGTGGAGGTCAGGAAGGTCTCTGCTGTGCACATTCATTTTTTTTTTTTTAATAGATTTATTTTTTAGATCAGTTTTAGCTTCACAGCAAAATTGAGCATAAGGTACAGAGATTTCTCATATACAACCTGCCTGTCCCCCACCCACCTCCACCCATTATCACCATCCCCCTCCAAGGTGGCACATTGTTACAACTGATGAATCTCCACTGACCCATCCTAATCACCAAAGACCATAGTTAACATGACAGTTCACTCTTGGTGTTGTACATTCTGTGCATGTGGACAAATACATAATGACATGTATCCACCATTATGGTATCATGAAGAATAGTTTCACTACCCTAAAACTCCTCTTGCACATTTTTTAAAGGTATATTTTGATAATGATATAAGACCTCAACAATATACATATAGGAAATGCCTTGCTACAACCATGAAAGCTAGAAATTCTGCAACAAGGGGCCAGAGGAAGTCAGATAAACGTTTGCTGAGCTTAAATTCTCCTTAGTTATCCCTGTTTGACCTTTTCTCCTTACTGCCCACCAGGAGTCACTTCATAAAATGATGTCTTACATGTCTTGGGGCAATGCATTTTTTTCTTGCTGCTGCTGATTCTCTAAGGAGGTAGAGTTAATATTTTAAAATGCTGATTATTCACTTTGATTCCTTTTTGCTGCTTTTGCTAACATGTGAAATTTTTAGAGCCAGACTTTTTCAGTGCCGACTTAAACCCTATAATCTATTACTTCTTTTACTTCATGCCTTATCATAAACCTGAGTCAAACTAATGCTACCACTTAAATTTTAAAAATAGTATTGGGTCACCTGGGTGCCTCAGTCGGTTAAGTGTCCGACTTCGGCTTGGGTCACGATCTCACAGTTTGTTAATTCGAGCCCCATATCAGGCTCTGTGCTGACAGCTCAGAGCCTGATGCCTGCTTCAGATTCTGTGTCTCCCTTTCTCTGCCCCTCCCCTGCTCACGCTCTGTCTCCCTCAAAAATAAATAAATATTAAAAATTATTTTTAAATATAAAAATAGTATTATTTAGGAGAAAAACTTTAAAACAATTGAATTAACTAAAACAAACCAAATTTGTTTACAGCGATTTCTAAGGTACTATTCCTATTTCATTGACTTGGAATTTTATTATTAAATATTGCTTTTAAAAAAATGTCAGCCATGAACTGCAATTTGGAAAATATTTTATAAAATACAGCTTCTGCCATAATTATTTTACTCAAATTGAATTAAATTTGCAGTGCTATTTCTTTTGTCTTCTATGAAATTCATCAATTTTCTTTGTTCTTACAGAAATTAATATATATTTCTCACACACACCCTGGTGTGAAACACTTAAGTCCTAGGCCTGAAGTATTTGTTGTGCAGAGTCCTTGTCTGCTAGTGATTAGGTATGTGGGAGCCCAGAGAATGATGGCCTTTGTTCTTTTTTTCCTGCCATGTATATTCTATTTCACTTGGACAGAGCTAAACTGTATTATACCCCAAGGACAAATGACACCAGGTGAATGACAATAGATGATTCTAATTTGAGAACAGCTATTCAGAATGAGTATAAATTCTGATTGGTGGTGCTTTTAAAAACAACAACAACAACAAAAATAAGAGCTTTTTGGGGTCGATATTGCACTTCACCTTTTAGGTCATTTTAAATAATAGTGAAAGAGAGCGAGAGGGAGAGACATGCCATAGTTTGCCATTCCAAACAAATAAAGAAAGAGAGAGAGGGAGAAAGAATAGACAGAGTTGAAAAGCAATGCCTTCCTAAAGTATACATGCGAAAAAGAAACAAAATGAGTGAAATGGAATGTGAACAAAGTCAAGAAAAAAGCTAGACAAAATGCTTAGGGGACAAAGTGTAACCTAAAGAAAGGAAATCCTAGCTGGTGAGACTTCACTTGAAACAAGAAGATAAAAATCCTTTATACAATCAGCAAACAAAAGCAAGGAAATATAAATTCTCAAATCCCATGGAGAGCCTGGAAGGGAAGTCAGCGAGACAATTGAGAGCAGGCAGTTGAGAGGATAAATCATTTCTTTACCTCACTCTACACAAAAAGAAGGTAACAGCCCAGGGTGAGACGTATTTTCCAGCAGAAGAGTAGGGAATTGTTGAAATGCTTTTCCCTCACCACAAAAAGCTAAAAGAACACCCGATTCAAATGAAAAGGATTCTTGCAGAAAGACAAAATCCATTTCTACAGTGATCGTGGGTGAGAGTCTGTCTGTCCCCCTTTGGCATCACATGAAATGTTTGTTGCCTTACTGATAAAGGAAGACCAGTAAGGACAGTAGAATTCACTGGAGCAGTCTCACTTAAGGAAAGACTTTGGGATTTTCTTGGGGTGCAGTCCAAGTAATTAGAAAGTAGGATCATTAGAAACATTGAGACCAGCAGTTTCTCACCCATAAACACAATTTTGAGACTAAAGTTATGATTGTTTAAAATAATCAAGGGTGCCTGGCTGGCTCAGTTGCAGGAGCATGTGACTCTTGATCCTGGGGTTGTAAGTTCGAGCCCCATGTTGGGTGTAGAGATTACTTAAAATCAATAAATACATACAATTTAAAAGTAGAATAAAGTGAGTCAAAGTCATTTAAAAACATTTACTTAAATATCTCAGCATTTACTTAAAAACAACACACGCACACACACACATGACCATGGAATCCAAGAAGCAGACATCCACCAAGGTCTTACAAACTTAAGAAAAAATTATTTGACGTGATAGTGAAGCCAAACATATTTTATCTTGGCCAAAAAGTATTTAAAGTTCATTTATCATAAAACACACACACACACACACACACACACACACACACACACACACACACA